ACATAGCATGGACCAAACAATCAATTATATTGTGTCTTGTTCAGATTTTAATCATCATTGCAACACAAATCTGAAATTTACTCAATTTTGTTTGTCTGAAATTCATCATCTCTTGGACAATAACACCCCTCAAATTTTAGGCGGTACATAGGAAACTAATATAATTCATTAGCATATAAACAGTATATTTCAAAACTTTTTCATGAAAATGTATGGGAAATCTGAGAGAGAGAGAGAGAGAGAGGGAGAGGGAGAGTTTAACTTCCACAAACCAATAATTCTCTTGCGCGTAGGGGTTATTGGCAGTGGGAGGAAACCGAAGGACCCGAAGAAAACCCAGAGATTAAATATGTGACCGTACTCGTAATGGCAGCCCTTACGATTCAACGCGCATGCATTAACCATTGGGCCATCCAACCCTCTCAATGGTGAAAGAGTCTTGGGTCCCAATGGTTTCAGAACACCCCTATAAATATCAAAATACTGTATACTAATAAATATAATGGTGTTTTATAATGGACACTAGTCGCGTTTTCATGGTACAAGTACTCTTCAAATTGTTAGACTTTTACACCGCTTTGCCCCACTGTGTAATAGCATACAGTATGAAGAAAATATCCATATGTTTAGCAAAATATGAGACAATGACAAAAACTATTAATGTTTTGAAAGACTTTATATAAGATTATTGTCAATGAAAGAAAATCATCTAAATCTCTATTTATCCCCCCCCCCCTTCCAAAGTTTCATCAAATCACTTGAAAAGACAATATGCCATTATTTTAATCAAGGTGATAGCAAAGATGTCTGCTTAAAATGATTGTCAAGCATAGAAATACTACAGAACCATGTCGTTAAGTTAAGATACACCTTGTTATCAATATATTATTAGCAAAGTTAAACTGTAGAGCTATCAAAGTCTTGTATTGTGCCCACATTTTACTCCGTTACCGGTACAGATAAAATAAAAACATGTTACATTTCCAAAGTTTTAAAGTTACCCGTTGCATCTGCAGGGTGTATGTAGATATAATGAAATTTGCACCAGTATAGATATAGATAAAAATTTAATATCGCCATTATGCCCAGCACATATTTGTCTTTTTCAGAGTTTTTATTAATATCTTTCAGCACATGTCGTATTCAAAGTTTAAAATTCCAGGTACAAGGTCACTAGAGCCTAACAGTTTGGCAAGTAAAACCAAAATCATTATTTTCTGGTTTGCAATATAGGTAAAATGTAGACATGCACTTCTTACATGCGAACCTGTCTGGTCGGAAAGGCAGTTGTTTTGTTTCAAAATTATTATCTTAATCTTCTTATGTTGTAATCTTAAATGGTTTTGGTTGGGGCTAATTACTTTAGGATAGGGTTTTCCTGTAATCAAATGTATCCGTTAGGGAAAAGAGACTTGCTCAAGACCTGGCCCAATAATATAGGTCAATATCTTTACAAAAAAAACAAGGAAATGTTAAGTTGATTGCTTCTGTGACCTAGTCTTAGTATATACTAATGATATACCTAAGTACCGCACACAGATAGATGTCTTTAACAGTCTTAAACCAAACACGTCTATTTTTCTAACTACAAATAAATCGATTGTTTTGTTGTTTGAACAAGCAAATTTCTTTTTTCTTTTCGACTTCTGTCGCCAAATCAAATGACATGTTATGTCTCGGTGTGGGGCTTCTTCTTTTGCAACCATTGTTTGTGCAAATTATTATTATTATTATTGTTCTTTTGGTACCGGGTATTAAGTTCCCAAGTAGTTTGCCAGACCCACTTCAAATATCATTTTACGTGTGAAGAATGGGGCGAGAAAAAGACAAAATGTCAGCGACGCTTCATCGAGTTATTTTCAGTCATAAAATTCCAATTTAAAGGTGATACTACGTTTATTTGCTTATCCCTGTCACTTTTTATGGCAATAAAACCAGTCAAATCATCGTCTAGGGGGCGTTTAAATTCTTGCCGCGAGACTTGTGTACAACTCGCAAGGTAATTACAAAGGGTCCTCGTAAAAATACGACTAGAATTACAAAAGAAACTAAAAACCACCGAGTTTGAAATAAGGATTTTTTTTCTCCCTTATTTTCAAACTAGATCTTTGTCGCACATCCCTGGAATTAATTTTTATATCGCAAAGCTAAGTCGATAAACTCTACTAAATATTAAATGTCATGGGTACTGAAAAATACCCGCATATTTCGTATAACTGGTTACGATTTACTTTAATTCCTATTTGGCCGAGGTTGTCCAGCTGCATAAGAATTTGTATACTTCATGCTATAAACATTGATATATTTGAACGTGGGGGATGGGGGTAGAAAAGTATCTACGACTTGAACACAGACCTTTTCGTTAATTACAGGTTTAACTCTTTTTTTTATCAAAGATAGGTTGCCACAGCAACTAAATCGTCCGGCGGAACAAGGGTTGTTGCATATTTAATCTTTTGTAGGTAATGAGGGGGGGTGGGGCATTTGCAGGACAATTTCATACAGATCAGATTATAATTTTCGTCCTTTGAGGGTTCACAAGATGCTACAGACTTAAACAAGGACCTTAACTCTGGAAGTAATATTCAAAAATTGTTGAAATTCGACAGTATTTTTCGTTTTAGATAATGCATATAAATTCCATACAGATTAGACGATGACTTGTTGAAATTCGACAGTATTTTTCATTTTACTAATTTAAATAATGCATATAAATTTCATACAGATCAGACGATGACTTGTCGTTCGAGCATTCCACATTGTTCAAAAAAGTAAAACAAGGTCCATAACTCGAGAAATAATTATTGGAAATTGCTTGAATTCAAAAGACTTCTTTCACTAATTTAAATGATGCATATAAATTTCATACAGATCGTATGATACCTTTCATCATTCGAACGTTCACAAGGTTCAACAAAGTTGAACAAGGGCGATAACTCTACTGTTTTTGTGTAAGAATTTCATACAGATCGGATGACTGTTGTCGTTGTAATGTTCACGAAGTGCAACAGTATGAAACACGGGTCATAACTCTAGGCCTAATTAACGGAAATTGCTGAAATTCCACAGGATTCTTCATTTCACTTATCTAAATAATGCATATAAATATCATAAAGATCGGATAATAACTTTTTTTGTTAGAGCGTTCACAGTGTTGGACAAAATGAAACAAGGGCCATAACTCTAGAACTAATGGACGGAAATTGATGAAAATCAATAGGCTTCTTCGTTTCACTAATTTAAAGGATGCACATAAATTTCATATCATACAGATCGGATAATAATTTTTGTTGTTACAGCATTCACAAGGTGCAATAAAGTGAAACAATGGTCATAACTCCAGAAGAAATTAACGGAAATTATTGAAATCAATTGGGCTTCTTTATCTCACTGATGTAAACAACATATATCATTTTCAAAACAATCAGATGATCAATGTAGTCTGTAGAGTGTTCACAAGAAATTGTGGACGACAGACCGACGGACGGACGGGCGGACCGATGGGCCGAGCGACGACAATATACGACCACATTTCCATGTGGGCGTATAATAAAATCAAAGAACGGATTCCTGGAATTGTTGTGTGTAATTAAGCTATAACTAAACACCAAATAAATATTTCTACTGTATTATTCCATAAAGTAAAATTGACTAAGATTGTTACATTTCTAAATAATATAAAATAACATTTGTCCAAAAATGGAAGTATGTTTTTAGATTTTATAAATGTTTTCTTTTTCTTAATACTTATTGCTTCTAAATATATACATGTATTAACATAAGGGGTATTTCTTAATTTATTTTATGAATAATTCGATAATTTATAAAATGCTTCGAGGAAAATTTTGGATTTGCATTTTTCAATATTCAATAGATAATATGGTCTAGGAAAATTTCTTTTTATAACCCCAGGAAGGAAAGTTGATTTAAATAGAATGATTAATAAGTTTACCTATCGTACTATAATACGTAGGTAAAATTCTCTAGTGGGGACGCCATATATGATTATTAGATTAGCATATTATATATGTTCGCTGATCTCTTCAAACAATGAAAATTTATAATTCATAAATTGTCCCCTTCAGTAGAAATATGTAATTAATGATATGATTTTGTTTATATCTTGTCAATCTTAGTGCAAAATGTAAACGAAATATTTTTGGGGAATATTTTATAGGCCATAATTTAATTTGGTTTATTATTTCCCGCTAAAGGAATCTTGTGCTTTTTGTTTTTTTCTCTTAATCCATCATAAAATCGGAAATGTAAAAGAAAATATAAATATTTTGTCGAGAAGTAAAATCTAAAGTGTTTAAATTTGATGAGATCGAATGTTAAATTTAATGTGTATTCAAATCAACAAAAACGATCCTCATAAATAATTCTGAAGAGAAACAGTGAAACTTTTTGTTGGTCAATGTAATGAAATGAAATGAAATGGGGTTTAACGTCCTACTGTTCTGCTCCTAACCTGGGCTAATGAAGACGGGCTTGGTCAATGTAATAGATGTATATAAGTATACATGTATATTAAATTATCATGAAATTATGCATGTACTGAAAGCTAACATTTTGTTTCTATACTTGGTGCGTGTTTCTTAGTTTATGTAAATTGGGATTATAGTTGAAGCAGAGTTATAACTTAGATGTTTTTCCGGTTAGTGAAATCGCCACTTTCTTATCTATGTCATGAGAGGAAGCCTTCATATACATATCAGTAGCTAAGCGACACAAGAGTCAACAAATTTTGGCCTTTGATTTCCATATTCAGTCGATAAGAAGCCTGATCTGATACAGATTATGTGGAATCCGTTACAAATATGACAATATCAGGATACATACTGCACGTAGTCGCCGTTTTCAAAGAAATATCTCATCCGCCTTCCGAAATCATTTCTTGAATATTCCCGGTTGATAAAACTTTCTGATTCCTGTGAAAATCCGGATTTCTAACTCTAAATATTGCATATAATTCAAATGATGAACAAGAAACATCAAGATGCCATTCACTGTTTTATTGCCGATATGTTTAATATCTGTACATAAAATTTGAGCAGAAATAATAATACAATGTATAATATATACAAAATACATTTTATTTGACAGAAACGTCTAAGTGTTCGTCTTTCATCATCTCTAACGACTTTCACTAATGCCTTAAGATACTAGCAGCCTTGACAATCGAGAGATTAAAATCGACACACTTATAACGCTCGTCCTTCCATTTCTAAAAACAATAATGGATTGATTTATAATAAATATTTACAAAAGACGTCCGTAAAGTTAAATATCTATATATTCTATATTTATTCTCTTTGCACCAACCAAGCCATACCCAAGAGGGTAATGGTATCTAAAATTGTATCTTTGTACTTGAGTAAAGTAAACAGTTTCGCGTGATGTATTGCCAAAGTGTTCTCTGTCTGTTTACAAGTATTTGTAAAACAGAAAATATTCTTACAAACCCAAAAGCAATCCACTTTTTTCTGTGTTTTCTATGTGTGTGTTTTTTGTTGGGTTTTATTTTTTTGCTGACAGCTATGAAAAAAAGTTCACTACTTCATATTATATTCGTTTCGTGACCTTAATGAATCCGGTTTTTACATTTTACAAAGGCAGTTACAAAATTCACCTCCCGTTTGTTTTCCGAGACGAATGTAATTATTAATAATTATACAGTTTTATTTTATCATAGAACTAGTATAATGTTACATTTAAAATGTCAACATTTAATTTTAGTGATTATATTTCATTTCAAACATTATATGAAAAACATTTCATTTATTGCGTAGAGATTTCGACCCCATCGTATGGCCATTACAATTATCTCAATGTATGTTATAAGATTATTTATGTTATTAGATTAAATTGTTTAAATTTATTCCATTCAAATAAAAGGAAACGTCACATAAATATTATAGATAATTATAATAATGCTTTTTACGTCAATAGACTAGAATTATATTGAGGGAAAAAAGAAATATACATTTAAAATATACCCTTGTGTCATTTCATTTGAAAAAAAAAACAAAACAATGTACAACCGTATAAATAATGATAATATTAATATATAAACAAACTCCAGGAAGGAGAAAAATTTACAACAATCTGACAATGACCAGCGAGCGTATCTTGAAGGTGGGTATTCTTTAACAATGATATTTTCAATCTCATCAGGATTAATGAGGTACGTTAATATTTCATACCCTGTGGAGACAAGCCAAGTCCTGCAACACCTTTATATATATATGATTATAATGAGAATTTTATTATAATTCAAAGTCATTGCTTTATTTAGTCTTCTTTCCCAAAAATATTTTGGAAAATATAAACTGAAATCTTCAATGTACACATTAACAGTCTTTGACTGTATACTAGTATACATTATATATTAATAATATGATATTCAAGATGTGACATTCATAAAGGTGCACTATATCAACATTGTTCATCACATTTAAATACTTATAGGATCATTTCGAGTATTATTTTTATTTTATTTTACTTCAAAATACACAAGTGACATAGAATAGAAGAGAGGAAATAAACCTCAGCACATTCCAAGCCCCCAGTTCCTTTTACGCACTGTTTCAAAATCCCTCATATTTATATACACAAGTTTAGGTTTGTAATGCCCACAGTGTCTATGGTAGTTTATTAGAAATAGTGTCACTGATGTCATTCCATAATAAATATTTCATTTAGCACAAACATGTATGCCGTGCTACAATATTTTAGATCATAGAAAACATGTACAACTTTTTTTTATACGTATTAACAACAATCTGTAAACACACTCGTATTGTGCGTTCACTTGCACTTTGCGCTTCAAATGTAAATTGTACACATTTCCTTCTAACTGCTGTGTGACTGTCACACATTTACAGTCAGTGCTCACGTTGGCGAAATTTTTGGCGACAGGCGAAAATCAAAATTTTTAGCACGAAGCCCAGACCAATTCACTTGAGTGAAATGAAAACTTGTAGCACAGTCGGGTATACCGTGATCCCGAGTCTCCTTGAGTTTACTTGTCTTGAAGAGTTTCAAGTAGCTCACTTGCTTCCTGTAGTACGATGATAAGGTCTGATTGAAGAGCACTCACCAAGGATAGGACCTTGTGCATGTTTTTGTAGATACCAAAACAAAACATTCTAATCGCCACAGTTCAACACTGCGTTTCGTTTGAGGTTTTTGATTGTGTTTTTGACCTGGTTTGAATAATATGACGTCACTCATTATGCCATGGCGGCTCCCACCATATTAGTTGCTGTGGATAGGTTAAGACCTGACGATGGTATGCTCGGTATACTGCTGAAGGAGGAACTAAATGAGCCTGATGTAGGGAAATTGTTGAAACCTGAAGACAAGCTTCCCATCATCTGTCCAGGATGCCCGCCAGACGACATAAACCCTCCACCAAAAGAACCTCCGCCTGTCATGTAATTATATGCGGGCATGGGCGCATGCATCGCGTGGTTGAAGTTAGGTGATCCAAATCCACCGAATTGTTTGTCTAATGGTTTCAAGAAATCAGACATACAGTTCATTCCTTTCTTGCCTTTCTTTGATTTAGTCGACATCTTGCGATTTCTGGTTTGGATGCCATCTTTCTTCATGGTGAGGGGACGATTAATCTGAAATATACAAAAAATTAAAGATGTTTAATTAAAATTACATTTCTTTCCAAATAAAAAATATTCATATTATGTTTTACCAACATCTAGATTAAGTCATAAATTAGATAAATCTAAAGTGTGATATACGTTATGTGTGATGAAAGTAAATGCGCCCCCTGGTGGGTCAACAGCTGCTCGAATCTTCAACAGAGCATCCATAACATAAACTCGTTTTTAACGTGGTCATAATTTTTATTTAATGTTCGACAAATTGACTTCTCCGCAGTCAAATCAGTCAGCAAGAAAAGGGTTCGACCGAGATTAGTCTGTCTATCTAACGGTCTGCCTTCTATTGGGTTCTGATCAGATGGAAAACGCTCTTATCGAAGCATGAACTAATCTTTTGTAGTTTAAGAAGACAAACCAAAACTAAACAAAGGTTGGATTGACTCGCTACATTAACTATAATAGACAAAGAAGAGCACATGTTGCGGACTTTTTAAAAAAAAAATATTAAAATACGGCGAATACGAAAAATCAAGATTGCTAGGAAAAAACCGGTCGACGAGCAATGTGCTATTAACTGTTCATTTGACAGAAAAATCATTATATTAACCCAAATTAAAATTGAACAAATAAAAAATGTTTTTTGGTGAGCCGCCCTGGTTATTTTAATTTTTGTTTTTGTCTTCTTTAACGTTTGGACAAAATATCATTTTATACATTGATTGGACTTTGAGTAAAAGACAAAGAGTGGGTGGCTTTTAATAGACTATAATTTATGACAAGAATGAGTTTGAACGCCACCTGCTAATAAATTTCTCAAATTTGTCGATGATCAACCTGCCCTTACTGCTTTCAGCTAAACCATTTCTATGAACCTCTCTAGCTAAATTTTATATTTTCGCAGATGCTCCTAATTTTTAAAGACCTATTTTACCTTCTCAGAAGGTAATATTGAATTATTAATTAAATTATTTAAAATAGGTAATAAACAATTAGTTTCCTAACGCTTTTCCAAACGCGTTTTGCAAAGAGTGGAATTCCAAAGATGGATAATTTGAAATTTGTGTTTTCCACCACGAACGATAACAATTATAGCAGATCTCCGTGTCGCAAATATCCATCATATAAATGGAGCGATTTATTAGCAATATGCGTCTTAAATTATGAAATATGTCGTCAACTTGCACATTAAGCGGGGTGTAAATAAACTAACTCACGTGACAATCACTTATTGTAAAAGAGGGTGAAATTTCTTTAGTTTTATTTGAACAAATATTTGAAATCAATATAGCGTTACATTATTAATAATCGTTATAAAAAAACCGCTGACAAAGCACACTATATTATTTATATAACTAGTTTCCATGTAGGTAATAAATGAGAAACAAAGCATTGATTTACGAGACTTAAAGGTGTTATTTGAGAAGGTTGTTGTGGTCAAGGAAATGCGGGCAATTGAATGTCTGATCCGCTTAGCCATTTGTTTACACGGACCGTCCCCATACTTCCTACCCTTACAGACAGAGGTGGATATCTACTATAAGTATCTTATATAACCTTACACATTTAATACGATAATTACTAGTATTTATTTCGTAATTTTTCCGTGCAGGGATTTTACACTCCCTTGGTAATTGTTAATAATTTTACTGGGGTATCCACAGAAACATGCCATAGCGAGGAAAGTAACTCAACCGTTACGCCTATTTTCTTCGGTAAGAAGTTGAAACGAATACGTGCGTGACAAGAAGTAGGATCGCTTGTCCTACCTCGTGGGTTCTTTCTAGGGCCTTCGGTTTCCTCCCACTGCTAAAGATCCCTACGTGCAAGCGAATTATTGAAATAAAATTAAACACCATATTTGTGTTGAATGGCTCTATAAACGAATCGTTTTTAGGTCTATATATCTAAATATATTCACAAATATCAAAAAATTCCGACTACCAGGATCAGAAGGTTGTAAAAAATGTTAAAGAAAATAGGCTGTCGCTGTGATTTATAAGTAAATGTTTTGAAAGGCAATAATTACCAATGGCAGTATAAGGCTAATCACAAGTTATTGTTTGTGTCCCTTTACCCATGACAGTTACACAAATAATGTCTCGACTCTCTCCGTCATTAGCCGCACTTAGCAGACGGCTTGCTCGGTTTTAAAACATAGTTCGAATCTGAAAACAGTTTTCATTCATGCGATCAGATATAGTTTGTCACCAAGAGTCGTCCATTGTATATCTTCATTCGACTGGCGTGTCGCGACTCCCAAAATTACCCTCCTCCGAGCTACGGAAAAACTCTTGACAATGGTGATTACAACTCGTTTACGCCGTTTCATTGTGCATACCATTGTAAGTATTATTTGGCCCTATCCTTGTTTTCTCCTCCCCTAATTATGCCAAATGAACATCCCCCTGTTTAAAAATCCCCCACCACAGACGATGAGAGTAACAGTGGAGCTTCACACGCTGTGTTAATGACTCGTCTTGTCAAACGGTGTTTAGAAGGTGATTTCAACGTGGGAATTAACCTGACATTAGATGTTTAGCTAATGAGATATTTGGAGAGTGAAAAGAGCAACCGTCGTAAAAGTTTCGAATGTTGGATGCAGTAGGTGCTATCACCATCTTTATCAGGCGTGGAGTGGCGACAGCTGGAACGTGACATCCGCACAACAACAGCACAGTTCCTCATAAAAAAGAACCCTTTTCACGAGTCTTTCAAAATTCACCACAGAAATAAAATTGAGAAAATTAAGTAAAGCTACAGATACCGGACGCAACCTTCGCGAACTGAGAATCCGAATATTATGGTTGTCGGTATGTGGTGATTACATTGATGCTTAGGAGTGTCAAGTCTCAGATGTTTGGCAAATAAATTTCAAATTACCCATTTACTTCTACCCCAAAACTTTAACGAGAATTCTTTCTGGTCAGCAAGCTTTGTTTATGATCTTAGAATTCTTAGTTGATTTATGGTAGAAGAGAAGGTAAGCAACTCGATGCTACTAATGAATGAGTCCAATTACTGATCACATCCGACAACAAAAAATTAAATTACAAAACGAACCAGTGATCTCCTTGATATGACAACATTTCTTTTTTTTTTAAATTGACTTCTTCGTGTTAATTAGGACTTGCGTAGAAAGTAACGCATTATATAAGCCTATGATCTGTGCTGACGGGAGGCACTGGTGTAAATCCAGTCTCTTTACAAGCAGTTAATTATGTGACTTCAAGAAAATTGTTAAATTTAGCAAACTAGCACCGATCTTTCGCCCCGGATAATTACCCGAAACGAAATAATAAAGACACCCACTGACAGGCTATACAGAGTTGCATTCAATCAAACAAAAAGAGCATCGACCCCCGTTCAATTTGACCAATTATCCGACGCCAGAGGAGCTGGGATGCTCTTTTCGGTCGCAGATATTGTGTGTCCTTCAATAATGTGAATACTTCAGGGTGGTAAAGCCCCCGGGGTGAAGGTAATTAAGCATTCCGACTACCAGGTATTCTGAGAGGATTAGCATACGCCTTTGAAGTAAAACTAAAGTAATTTTCTCCTGCTTACAGTCTTAGAACGTTTTTCCGTATGAATTACCCTCCTCTAAAAAGACAATAAAGAAGTTTTCGTAACTTCCTTTCACTTTCATATTCAGGCGCAAACTATCCACAAGAGCTTTTAATGAGTGCAACAGTACTAAACTAGCTTTTTAAATAATGAATAATATTCCGGTAACATCTTTTGTTTTTACAATTTCTTGAAATATAAATGCATTCGAAGCAAATTATATTCAACCTTTATTTTGGCATGTTGGGGCTTTAAATGTCTCTAAAAACGTTAATGTCTTGTAGATATGTAGTGTCTATATCTATAAATGAAATAAATATATGTAGCAGATAATATAATTTCCCATTTACTTAAAAACAGCCAAACAACGCAGCATATTGTGATTCTTGAAATAATTCCAAGCAGCAAGAAGAAACTCGCTTTTCATACAAATTTCTTTTTTTTTTCTTTTGGTGTTCCAAAAAATATAATTTAACAGAATTTTACAACAAAAACATCTTGAACAACCCACTCTTTGTGAAAATGTGATGTAGGACAACACAACCATTATATTATATATATTTAAGTAATCATCTTTGGATTGTAAATAGGTTCTATATATATTAACAGTCTAATGCGAGCTTCGCAGAGACGTGAAGTATTTGTACCAGGAGCAAAGAGTTTCAAAATCTTTAATAACAACGCTCTGACCCTGTGCGAAATAATGAAAGTCAACCATGCGAGGCGACTGTTCTCAAGTCGACTCCATACTGTCTAGCTAGTGAGACTCGGCTCTCATCGAATAGCCCTGGCTTTGATCTTAACAATTTATATATTACTAGCTATGGAATCTGATACGCTAACGTCGGCGAAAATAAACCCGGCAATGGGTAGGCGCCTATATTATGGCGTTCTATTTCGTCACGCGAGCACCATGTCCGCAGCGCGCGAGCACACACCACGCTGTATGCTCTCAAATTTGACGATAACTTATGACAAGGTGGAAAAACTAGAGACAGGTGGATTGGTCTGATAACCAACTCCAGTTGGCTAAATAACCTTTGACATATAAATATATATAACTGTATACCAATCTACAACCAAAACAATCACCGCCATTCATTAATACCCAGAGTTTCAACTTCTTTAATTTCTGATTAGCATAAATGTTATTGTGTTTAACGTATGATAACTTGTGTCTTTTCTTTATCACGACCATCTCTTGAAATTAGAAAAAAAAAATTTATTCCGATGGAAAAAAATGTCGATACTTTCAATTGCAGCAGGTAACTTTGAGTCAAATTAATCAAAAAAAACCTTTTGTGGTTATCAATTATCCACTTTCAGACTTGCTGCATCGCGCTAACCTTCAAGTCCGGATCGAATTTATAGCAATTATAAGATGGTCTTTTTGATAACTTGTCGTCATTTCAATTTTTTAATCCAAAATAACAAGAGAAAAGAGAAACTTTCAGCCATGCTCATCACTCATTGGCTGGCGTTTTCCGTACAAAATATGTTTCTTTAATACGAAATTAAAGTCAATTTAATTTCCCCGGAGAGATGTCGAGTAAATGTCAATTATAAATCGTTTCTTTTACCTGGTCATTTTCACATTTTTTTCTTTCTAGATAAGAGTCAATATTTACACGTGTAATTTCATATCAGGAGAATTACATTCAGATAATTTCCAGGTAAAGTACATGAAAAACGAGCGATTTTACTTTGAACAATGGCTCATTAAACACAATATATTTCTAACTAGGTTTAGAATAAATAAACAACCGTCTAATCTCTTCCAAAAATCACATTTTCACTTAGAAATTAATTAATTACCAAATCAGAAAATTACAGCCAACAAATTAGTTATAAATTGTTTACATAAAAAAGTGAGCTTAACAACATGCCCTGTACTTAAAGCTGGTTGATAATCGAAATAATCGATTTATTAAGTCTAATAAACAAGGAATAATATTCAAGATAAGTTTCAAAGAATAAGGAGAACCTAATTTAGGAGAATGGGGACATTTCTGAAACGGAAATAATAGATATATTATACATTTGGAAATTATAATTCCTGAAACTATTATTATATATTGCTAGGACCAAATTTTTGAAACGCAAAACCGAGTCATAAATAAATCTGGAGGACTTATTTAAGAGATTGGGATCATTTCAAAAACGGCATTAATAGATAAATAAATTTGCAAATTAGCATTCCAAAATCTAGTGTATATATCGCCCGGACCAAATTCGTGAAACGCAAAAGTCGAGTCATAAATAAATTCAAGACCATTCGTTCTGATTCCATGGGTCAAAAACATTAAACTGCAAGCCATACTTTCCGTGGAGACAAAAGTCTACAAGATGAGAAGGCACTGTCGTCGTTTACGCCACGGCAGTGAATTCGATCACCATAAACTAAACAATGTATTTTGTTTTTCTAGCCAGAAGACAGAAAAATAATCGAGAAACTAAACTATGTCCCGGAGTTTATTTGTGTTGATAATTCTAGAAGTTGAAACGACTGAACCGGCTTCCACTTTCATTCACACGAACGATAGTGACGCCTTTCATTGGCTGGCATCTTTAACACGCAGAACAGGAACGTAACGAAACTTTCTCCCATTTATTAGAATGCGCTCTGTTGCTAAAGAATTTACATTCGCTGCTTTTCTTCAGGGCATTTCAACTCACATTAGTCAAGATGCCATTTTGAGATGTTTAAGGGCAGTGTGCTAGATTTCTTTTAACACCTCGATAACTAATATTGACAACAACATTTTGGGAAAGTGGCAATCGTTCTTGATTGACAACCGAAAGAGTTTAGAGAGTTCGTTATTTTCGACATGAGGCGTCGAGTTTTTTCAAGCCGAGATCTATTCGGACGCCTATTTAAATTCCTTTATAACAGAAACTATTTAAAAATGGCTCGAGAAGATAAAAAATATATATATATAAATTTACTTACATTATGTAGTTTGTAGTATAACCCACAAGCGTTACAAACGGGATCGCCATTATGATTACGTCTCCATAACGTAGTTGTTGATGTACCGCAGTTAGAACAGCTCGTACCTGCTCGTCTTGCCGCCGACTGAAAATAGATTGAATTTTGAGCATAAAACATCAGTTGATAACTTACTATAAGATATTTGTTTTGTATGCGATCTTTAATTGTCAGAGTTTGAGATAGAGGTTAACGTGATGCCATCAACATGTACACAATTATGTCTTTTAAAGAAGCATTAGAGCTTTAGGATCTTCTCCGGTTGGTAAAAAGTAAAAAAGAATATCTGCCTTGATTTAAATATGGTATATATATATTTGGATGATTTTCAAGTAATTTAATGACGCTCCCCCAAAGTAGGCCTACCTTACTCTAAGTAGGTCATTGATTGGATTGTCGATACCCAGGTGTGTCTCGAGTTATTTAAAATATAAATTACATGTATTGCCTTGTTAAAGTGTCTCTTTAAAGAAAAGGAAGGTTATATCAAATAACCCACATCAATAAATGGCGTCATTTTATTACTATTTTACCGCGCTTTACACATTTGAATCTCGCGCCTTATATTTTTAAAATTTTGAAGAGCAGCAAGACAGTTTTCTCTCATAAAAAATAAATAGATATCATTTCACACGCCTCCCTGTAGCCATAACTCAATCCGAGTAACTGATATAAACCATTAAAGAAAACTTGAACAATCTCTTTAAAAAAGAGCTACGTCAATTATGTGGTCGAATGCCGTAAAGGGAAGTTCTATTTGACAGAATGACGCGTACTCGGCATTGTCAATGGTGACCCTAAGAGCTTCTCATATATATACAGGGTATTTCTAGACTATATTATGACGGTCATATGATATGACTAAATGTTCAAATCTCCATACGTTTACTTAAAGCTTTATGAAGTGTTTAAGTCTACCAGAATCAACATAGTGATCTCCACGACAATATTAGGAGTGATCAATGAATAATTTGACTTTATTTACACATTATAAAGCTAAGACCCTTTCAGATCTGAAATAAGCTTTGCTCAGCATTCATGAGCTAACTTAATTATTTTTACAGGTACACACTAACCGCTTCTATATTATCAAAAAAAATAAATTAGAATCACCTTTTGTAGGTCTGCACAATCATAACATTGTTTGTTTAAAAATATAAATTGTTATATTTGTTTTGAATTTGTTAAATCATACATACACCGATTCAGCGCATGGATATATTAAGAACGACTTATTACCGTAGCTCATATAAGAACATATGATATAAATATGGCCTGTGTCATTATAATCGCATCTTTTAATGCGCCTTTCATAATATTCCATTTACTAATATCTTTAAATGACTGGTGTTTTGGTCAATATGTTACTACTCTATGGGGTTTCCGATCTGTAAATATATACACACTTTTATTTCAGAAGGTTTTTGTTCTCTTTTCATCATTGTTTTACACCATTGTTAGCTGCGGTGTCAAATCAACACCTATATATAATTATACATAGGTAACATATTGCGTTTATTCTATATACTATATTAACATATACGAGCAATAATTATCATAATTTAAAACAAGTAAGCCTGAGGATATAAATTCTGTCTGTGTAATGAATCTGAAGCGTTGAGTTTTTCTGTATTAACGAGAAAGTTTTTAGTCTTATTTGGCTATGAGTCCCAAAGCAATATCCATTATCTCAAAACATCATAAACAAAACCACAAGACCTGTATTCGTGTATGCCTTTTGCCTAAATGATAGGAATCGCTAGCATTTATTGGTGGCTATATGTCTTGCATTATCAAGACAAACGTTACACCAAGTTTCATTCGCTTTGTATTCATGATGGTGTTTCTATTTAAACGGAATTTATGCAAAATTTGAATACAATTAACCAACCAACTAATTAATCAAATCATACATTTAATAAATCGATTTTTTGATTTATTGATCCTAACAACGCGTGATCACTCTTTAAACAAGTGTAGCGGCAAACGCTGCATGTCTTTATTGGACTAGCATCTGTTGCAGTACTTCCCACGAAGATGTGAGGAAAATTCAACACAAAATTGACCGGAGTGCGACGAATGATTCCAGTTGACCGTGTTTACAAACTGTGAACAAACGAAGCGAAGGAAGAATACAGACTCTACAACTATAACGTATGTTTACGAGCTATTCACATCATATTCATGTCTACGCTTCGTTGAATAAATAAATGAGTAGAAAAGGAGCCAAATGTTACCCAGCCGAACGCAAGGTGATACATCCATTCGCATCCATTAAAGTTATAATTTAGAGAAACTTAACCCAATCTAATGAATACCTACATTAATTAATAGACCATTTTTTTAAAAACCTAAGCGGAAATCTAAATAAGCGTTGGTCATACTTTTATGAAATTTAAAGGAGCTAAATCGCTAACATCTGGGACCTAGAAATTCACAAAAGTGGGTCGCAACGCATATAATACTGTAATATGAATGTATATAAACTGATTTACATTTAATGGTTTCCGTTTTTACTCCAATTTCAAATCAGTTATGTTCAGCGAAATAAGTCAGCAATCTCAATCGAGTGCAAATTTCTAGCGTCTAGTTATTCTAGTCTATATAACTCCATTTGATTTGGTGCAATGTGTCTAGCCTCGTCCCTCGAGTCTCTCAATACAACTGGGGCTGAAGCGCATTATGGTACACGATTCGTGTACCAATGTTAAAAAAATTATTTTATCTTAAATATCGGATATCAGAAGCTCATCTTTTCCCGGTAAGTTTACATCATCAATGTTGATTTAAATTGACCAATAATTCGTGTTTTCGATGTCGAAGATTTTGGAGGATTTTGAGTTACGGACTTAGGTCCTTTAATAAGGTGTCAAAATAACAGATTGAAACACGAATATCATTTTGTGGGATTTTAACATAAAATTTTGTTCAATACTTAAATGCATTCTGGAGAACAGATATCGTTTATCTAAAGCGAGTCGATCAAACGCTTCCGTCTCTTTATTTATACGTATTTATACGTTGCCTTTAGCTAATTTAATTAAGACCTATTCATGCTCCTGTTAAAACACGAGTTCCAAGTTCACAGAAAAATTACTAACTTACATGAGAATAATCAGACATGCATTCGAGAACATAAAATTATTACTTAACACGCTGTTAAAGTTTTGACGCGAAAGTCAGTTTTAAGTAAAAAATATTTTTTACCAGTTAAAAAGATTTCAAACCTTGTGAGAACATAAATAAACAAGAGCGTATTGTATTGGTCACAGAAACATATACAAAGAATTTTAGTAAAATTATCCCATGCCCTCAACGCAATATTCAAAACAGTTTAAAAACATGTGACCTTCAATGCGAGTTATTTTGTTTATGAATTGAAATTGAAAAGCGCCAAAGAGACGATCACCATATTTAACCAAGGGTTCCAAATTTGTTTATAATTCTTGAACACAAATTACAAGTATTATGTAACAACTAACATATCTCGTTTATCTAATGACGGTCTGTCTAAGATTGTATTAAAGGCAACATAAGTTGAAATCCTTCCCTTCAAAAAGTTTAATAATGGTTGAGATATTTCTCATTTATAGCAATATCTGATGAATGAAGGGAGGTTATGGGAACAATTCTCATTTATAGCAATATCTGACGATTTAAAGGGTGCTGTGAAGACAAATCTCATTTATAGCAATATATCTGATTATTTAGCAGGTGTTTGGTTACAATTCAAGGTTAATAACATTATCTAAAATTGCTTCAACTGATTTCAGTCACATATTTACGTTGTACACGAACTGTCTCTTTAAAATGGCCACCCAAAATAGCTGATGATTTTTTAAGCAATCCCAAGCATGTAGCTGTCGTGTCGGATTCAGAGGGTGTTATCATACGAAACAACGGCGGAATACCAGGGAATTATTTTGATACCTTCAGCATTTCTGAGTATATAAAGTAAAAGGTTACAACAAGGGGGATTGAAATGGGCCATTAAAAATATGCCTCGGAGAGTATCATAGTTGGAATTATTACGCTTGTATCTAAATTTCCCCTTCTACTGGAGTTTGCCACTGAAGACACCAAAGGAAATAATGGCTGTTTACAGAGAAAACACGACGGTTATCGGAGAAACTTGACGATATACATCTGTCGTGTTTTCTGGTTTCGTGAAGAAATGGAACAATATAGTTTTTCTTGTTAGGTCTTGTCGACTGATTCTCCTTCCAACACTTCAAAGTCTTGAACTTTAGATTGTTGGTGTTGTATCAAATTGTCCGTGTTCTGTTCATGCACTCTTGCCAATAAAAGAGTTCCGCGCGCCATATATTAAAACAAACGAATATCACAAGAACGAATTCATCAATCCTATATTGGGAATGTCGGAAATAGAACCTCTTTTCGACCTTTCGTTTCGTCTTTTTTAAAATCCAAGATTCGAAATTTATTAAAATCGTAATGCTACTTTCCCATATCTTGCAAAATTGATATCAGAGGCATTCAAGTGCTGTAGTAACACGAAATTTATGATAGTGTAATATAATAAATCAAGTTAACTGGCTATTTCTTTGTTTTCTTTCTTAAAAACTCCAAATTATATCCCGCCCTGGTCCGATAATAGTATACAAAGATCTATATGTTGACAGAAGTATGAGTATTTCAACCTGATTTAACCCCTATATGATAGGAACTAGGTAAACCAAACACTACAAAATCATCAAATCTTTCAACTATTAGTCGTAACCCGTTAAAATCGACCTCCACTAAAAACCTGCTGGATTTCATTTCTATTTCTACCGACTCTACTAGCCAACAGCCCTGGCTTTCTTTACATATTGTTTGAGTGTGGTCTGGGTTAACACTACTTCCTTTGCTTGCAAATGGTGTCAAATGCAGCCTAAGCGCCGCTTTTCCCGTCGCCGGCAATCTTCTATAAATGCTGTTTACATTAAGTGGAATTCAACACGAGATTCTGCAAACATAACCTGAAGACCCTCGCTACTTCAGCGCGATTTCGTGCGGCCCTACTAAATGATGTTTAAACATGACTCCCACAAAAGAAACGAGCCCGGCATGAGTTTACAATTTGAAAATCCAGCCCTGAGCAAACAAAAATGTTTTCACCTATTGGAAAAAGCTCGCCTAATGTCCCGCCCCTTCAATCAGCCATAAGCAGTGTTTAAAGGGTGGATTATAGATTTTCTCAACCTGAGTCTAATCCTTAAGTGTGGCGGAAGAGACGAGGAGAGTAAAGGGGATATGAATATGACGAGTCAATCAACAGCTGTCTTTAGTTCATGACTGCCATCACGACTCCTTTTTTTTACTATTTTGTACCAGCTAGTCACCTGCCCCATTCAACTTTTAACATTTGAAAGCTAAGTCGATCTTGGTTAGAATTAAAATGGCTAAACTTCTTTGATTTGAATCCAGAATGCTTTTTTGAATTTGAATGAATTTTATATGTAGATTTGTTATGACAATATGCCTTTGTTGATAACAGTACGTCTATAGATAATAACACATCCGATCACCCCACACAATTCATCAGATCTTTATTTTGACCTAAAATCAAAGAAATTTTATAACAGGGATCTTACGTCATTTAATACTCTAAGAAAATCGAATTTTTAAAACCTGGATCTAGACATTTCAATCAACAAAAGTCTAGATTCGGAATGTATTCAAGCGAATTTTCGTTTTCTTATTCAAATATGCCAAACCTTTTAAATTAAATACTCAATCTGTTTATTATTTTATATAAGTTCTATTCTAATTGTTGTTATGGTCTTCACTAGATTACTAAGTTGATATTTATCATAGTTAGCAAGTGGCCATCATCTAATAAAGCGCTTCATTAACTGGTTGGAACTTGTGGTCAAGTGGTGATTGACGGCTGGCAGGTCAGTTTCTATCTCAATTACCCACACTTTAATTACCAATTACCATCAACACCAGGCCAGTTAAAACAAGGAAACATTTCATAGATATCTCTAATTTAAAGAGACATTCTCTGATGGAATCTCAATAGTGCAATCATTTCAGATAAATTTGGAAAATGGACCTTAGTTTCGGTTTTAAGAATTATTTGAATACAATGGAATAAATTTATGAATACTTCATGTATACACACAACCATGTAATGATTTTATGCATTAAGGTTTCTTCTATAAACCAGTTACAATACTCGTACAGTATATTTGATTATGTGGTGACGTGACGTGACTCTCTTTAACTTTATGTATATTTAGGGTTTTAGAGATTGACGCGTCCATTTTTAATCTACATCATTATATTCAAATTTTATAAGCAACTCTAATATAACCGAACTAATTACAGATATTATCTTATTGTAATTAAGTCAATTTTTGCTTCAGGAAATACCAACTTTTAATATTCCTTAGTCTATAATTTAACATAATAAGAATTCCACAGATGGATTTGAAGCCTTGGTGGTTTAAATTACAATAAACTTTGTACCTATGTTTTAAATACAGTAAATGCAAACAATCAAATATTGTTATAACTATTCTCTTCCCTTTCAGCATCATTAATACGCTATATTAATTAATGGCGCTTATAAAAACGTATAAATTTGAAACGTGTATAAACATAAAAGGGAAATATACATATGTGCATAGCATAACTGTTATCTTTACAGATGATAAATTCTGAATATTTTTCATTATGGTTTTATTAATTGTGTGGCGTGTAATAATAGGTAAAGATAATATTGTCACGCCCTACGCCCGCAGTTAAAATATGGCTCTATTACTGCTTGGTATATGAAATTCTAAAACCGAACAATTAAAATAAATAGTCTTAGTTTAAAGGGCGTATACAATGACGTTCACGATTTGATGAACGTGTATTGTTTTCAGCTAAAATTCTCTGAAATTTCTACGAACAAATTAAAACCAAATTGTCCGAAGCCTTCCCGTTAGTTTCAAATTTGGACAAGGGACCTAATGAGGCAGTAATATCAATCCATCAATAGTTCAAGCTAATTTACAAATAACTATTAAATCTTCATGTTTGTTTGGTTTTTTTTTAACGTTTCTCGGGGGTCTTTAATAAAAAGAATCCGTGATTGCTATTCAGGTATACTATGACACCTTGAAATCTGTGGGTTTAAAAGAAAGATAAATAGGTGTATGTATGTCCAATGTAGATCTTAATAAAGAATTTATATATAAATCAGAGTACATAGTTAATAATACCTAGTGTGTGTACTGAACTTTATAAGTGTTCGGTTACATATCAAAAATCCAGTGGTCTATAACCACTTAGAGCCTGCCTTTAATTACAATATCACGTTCAAGTACGTTTTGTCGACTTGATAAATTTAGAATCTCTGTGTATCGTTGTTTGGTTTTGTCATTCATTGGTGTATGATGTACACGTAGAGAAGGGTTTGGATAAGAGATCTATTTAATTTGGACAATATTTCATTTGAAATAGTAAAACCAAAAGAGCAATATACAAGAATAAATGTTGAATACAAAGTGTATACAATCGGACACATATTTTATTTTTTTTTAAATGTTTTGCCCCCAAAAATCGTTCAATTGTAAAGTATGTCCATATAGGTTTCTAGATAAATCAATCAATAATAACTTGTACAGGCCATTATATTCTTTTATACTCTGGAGTGCTTAATTGCATTAGAATATATTTTTGACTTTTGAAATATTTGTGAATCTCTGTCTTCTTGTGATAGTAGTAGCTTACAAAGTCCAGGAAATATAATAATTATTTGCTCTTATTGTTCTGGTTAGTTATTGTGAAATATCTAATAATTTGGTTCATTGGGATTGGCTGGCATGTCTGTATTTCAGATAATATTGAAAGAGACAGACCAAAACATAATGTTGGGCCTCGGTGAAATCATGACGAACGATCATACCTTCGATAAACAGAAAACAAGTGGGTTGTGATTTTATGCAAGCGTGTGTAGAATATCCAAAAATATCTTTGATGGGAGTTGTCTTGAGTAAGGGAAATGATCTTGTCTGTGGTGACTATTTCATCCTTTCAGGCGATTATCTTCAGAAGCATGTATGACAATCTAGATCAAATTCTAACGAATAACTCGCTTGTTCGTGATGGTCTATTTCCCCCCAAAGAAGGATCTGATTTTAAGAGTTACCGAGAAAATCATGCACCAGGAAACATTGATCCGTTTCATAAGAAGTGATAGATATTAATCTTAGGGTTGTGCAATATTATCGTGATAATTTGTGCATGTATCTTAATAAGTCAAATTTTGAATACTTGGGCAGAAAATCGTCGCTTGATGTCAAATTATTGTCGCTAACGTCGGTAGACGCCATGATGGATCAGCTGGTACTTATAATGCTATTTTTACAAATGGATATAATTCTATCAATAGATTGTCATACAAGTTAGTCCAAGTAAAATATTAATAACGATAATATGTAAACATAAATAGAGGTGTGCTAAAATATACTTTTTTGATATTTATAAGCCAGTAAATACTGTCCAACCTTGACCTTGAAAAACAAGTATTCCTCGATTACATCAATCGTGACCTGCCATTTGGACTTCGTACCGTGCACTACGGCTGCACTTGTCTTAAGAAGGTGACAATATAGCTTATGTATTACCATCAGTATTGGGATACGATAATAATCATATCGCGATAAGTTTGGTTGTCACGATATACCGGTTTTTCGCTATTTTAAAATAAATCCCATGTGATCGCATAACCCTAGATATTATTAAATTATTACCGTATAGTTACTAATAGATTTCTCTACGGCCTGTAAATACACATCCATTGTTTCATTGAGAGGAATATTAAACGTCCCGAGGCATACTTTCTTTATTTGACTTTCAGATAATGGCGATAACCTTCATTTGTGATCATGGCGGCGGTGAGACAAACTACTGTTTAACTGGGATGACATCACAGTTAACCCACTGACCTTCTCTGACATAAGCAAAAACTCGCCATTACTAATTTGCTACCGGCAACAACATTAAATTTGGGGAGATAACAGTTCAGTAAGAGAGGCCACATCATCCTTCCGTGAGCGTATCACAACATTCGTCTCACCAAAATATCATGGGAAATTCAAGCAAAGAGACCAAGATTTACATTAATGGTTAAAACCGCAGAGTGATTCTTCAAAATTGTAGTTATATGATCTTTCTCGTTTTCAAGTTAAGGGATTTGTGGATATTGCCTGCTTCATAATGTAATGGTGAGAACTACAGTATTAATAACATAAAAGTGAACTTACCAGTCTTCGTTTGGGTTTGATAAGAGGTCTATTAGAGCCGTTCATTTTATGGTAAAGACCGCATGCATTACATAGATAATGACCAGTTCCATCCCGACGCCATAATGGCGTGGAAGTCGCCCCACAGTTTACACACTCTCTTCCTTCTAAAAATAAATACAGAGAAAAATCTTTATATTTTATATATTTAACCAAGTATAAACAATATCCAATTCTATAATCCGTATATACACACTTTTTCTTTGTCTAAGAGAACTCACTTTCGATAATAATATTAATATACACATAATGCAAAAGCACATTGCAAGTTTTTAAGTTATGTGAACGCCCCAAACGAGAATTATATATTGGAGCATCTGATGCACTGGTCGGGTTTTTAGTAAAGATATTTCAACGGTTCTTTATAATTTATTTCAAACACTCGATTCAGATTTTAATACAAACTACATACATTTATATCAAACATCAGATTGAGATTTTAGAATACACTCATTCCAAACACTCGATTCGGGTTTTATAGCGTATATATACTTCATTATTATTTCAAACACTCGACTTAAGTTTTAGTGTAGTCTTAACCACAATTTAGGTTTTTAGTCCATTCGCCATACATCTATTACAAAGACCCGAAAAGCTTAAACATTATCAAACCGGCTTGTGGTAAGGTATTGAATAACAAGTAAGACGGTGTTTTTATGGTGTCATGAAATGTTGATTGCCACCGGAGATGATACTCGAGCCATTCGATGACTTTTATGGCGTAAAAACAGTCATTTTGCCACAATAAGTCGCTATAGTGAGTCTGCTCACATTTCGCCTCACAGACACTAGGGGCCGCTACGGGAAATTGTGAAAGTGCTGCGCAAACTGTTGTTTGTATTTGAAATACGTTATTTCTTAATCCTAAGACTGACATAAAAGGTCTTGATAAGAGTGGAGACGTGGATAAGTCGACTGTTATGTTGGACAGACGTGGAGTGCCCCGTTCAACGTTGGACATCTAGCCCTTTTCATTAATACTCTCTAAGGGGGGTCGACCACTTACACCCGTATACATAATGCTCGTTTAAGTCACGTATAATGAGCGAGGTTGGGGATAAAACTAAACGAATAGCCTCAAAGAGATATGCCACCAGCTCATGCATTTTACATGGAGTTTCGATTTCTTCTGATTAGTTTAGGATTAAAAATCCAAAGTTAGCATAAGCAAATAATTGAGGCTAAGCGACCATTGTGTTAGAGGATAACAATTACGTGTTACGTATTCTCATTCTCTTTAGGGGATTCGCTAAGAAGAAGTAACAAAAAAGAGCAAAGAAAATTGGTATGTCTGACTGACTTCGATGGAAGTTAATATAACGATTGTGATGTCACACGATTTCATTCATTCATTCATAAAATCAGCGAACGAAAACCACGCAGCTAATCAAAGCATCAAATTGTTAAAACTAGAGGCAGAAAAATGGCACTTTGACTCATGTTAAGACTGGCGATCGATAAAAATAATAATAATTACCATAGAATTGGTATCGATATTACATAGATAAATATTGAAAACAAAATACGATAGAACAATATTATCTTATTCGTTCGTGTGTGACGATACAATAACGAAAGATTTTCATAATGCTAACGATTACAGTATAAAAACGTGCAAATAACCCGAGTTTGGCTTTAATTAATGTAAATAAATTTACGTGAAATCGATGGATGTTTATATGTAAATGTGGTAATTATAACGATGGCATTATTTGCTAGTTTTGTTTTTTCCTAGTCAAGTGTAACATTTATATTGCCTGGAGAAAGTTGTATATCAAATTTTCAATCAAATTAAAAAGCAAATAAATTTCTAGACCTGACAACCCTGAATTGAATTTTATAAATTTGAAAACATTTATACGTGACAAAAACATCATTTGAAATCGTAGCCGGGGTATTTTTGACACCCAATCAAACAACATGAATGCAACAACTGATAAATTATAGGACCGTGAAGTATAGAGAATGTATTTTCAATAATTGACTTGAAACGCACTTTAAGAGTGAATATGAAAATAATAGAACTGGCGTGCTAAGAGTTTGGAATATTAAAGGAAGTACTTTAAGAACATTTTACACCACGTGGAAGATTCCGGTGTTTTGGGGTTGGGACTTTTGTTTTCAAGACTATCTAAATAAGAATTCTTTATATATTCAGGTTTTCTAAACGACATGCACTTTTTGGTCGATTAACCAGATTCAAATTTTCTTAACATTTATTTTTGGTTTCTTGGCAATATACTATTGTTCCAGCTTTAAAGGGGAATTGCCGTTTTACGGTTTGTTGGGATTTTTTTCGATCGATGTTAAAAATAAAATTCGTTTAATGTGCTTTGACTACAAATATTGTATGCAGACTTGGAAACAGATTAAAAGCCACAGCTAAGATATACATTCAATTTACGGATTTACGTTCAATTTACGAGTCGCTTAAATTTTCAGCAGGATTTAAAGTAGTTTTAACGACCGCTCGTGACAAATACCTTACTCTGGTTATGCCAGTTCTTTGGATTTTGGATAATTGTAAATGTTGGGCTATTATTAAAATATTATTCACAGTTAATTACATTGTTTTGTCTTGGTGAAAAAGACAAACATCTTTAAGCCTTAGAATATGTCTTAAGGTTGGTTAAATATTTTGATGTACTAAATAAATAAAACGTAATATTATTGTGCTGTAATTGCTGTCTGAACAATAGAATGTTAAATTGATATTTCTATACTAAAGTGTTACGACTTCATCCAAATCGTCTGAAATCAATATATAATTGTCTTTAACTGATGTATGTAGCCTGAATTAGCGCTAGCTTAGTTCTGGTGATAGCCAAATTAAAACCATTTCTCCTCTGTTATAAAATATTCAAAAACATTATCCAGCATCTTAAAAAAAATTCAATTTTTCCTGAATAAACATGACTAATATCTGTTTTGTTCGCAGTTTGCATCAACGCATCCGTAATTATATATGTATATATAACAAAGAGAAATAATTCCATTAAAAACTTCTTGATTAAGGTGTCGAAACCTGAAGTGTAACATAGCCTATTCAAGTTCGATACCTTATTTTTGCCCAATTCAACAACTTTAGGTAGCACAATTGTTACACAATCTTTTAAAACTTTTTTAAAATAACAAATCAGCTCATTTTAAATGTTAATTATTATTTCTAATTATACAAATAAATTATTGCTATCCTAGTCGGAAACAAACTCGGCTCTCTTTAATAAAAAAATAATAATGAAAGTCGTAAAAACCCAAATGAATTATTACCCATCTACCATATAAATCATACTTTGGAAGACAGTGATAAATTTTAAAAGGAGAAATATTTCCGCTAAGAAAACTAGAAGGTATGCGCGTTAATTTGTATTGTTAGAAACTGAATCTTGAGTCAGTATGAGTTTACTTGTGAAGTTTGTTTCCGGACCAGACTTTAAGAGAGTTTCCTCTTCTTCACATCCTTCCTATATACTTAGTTTCAACTATTAGTGTATATTGTATAATTCAAGATAATATTGAATAGTAGCTACGTGATATGGCATATATAGATTACACTTGTGATTAAATATATAAGAAATGAAATCATATAAATATAGTAAAATTGACCTTCGATTGTAATATATTATTTAATCTATGTATGCGTATGGTTCGGGGTGGGGGCGTGCCTTTCAAGACCCCCCAAAAATGCGGTGAAAGTAAAAAAAATAAATGTAATTTATTCTAAACATTAAATATTCAGTTGTTTGTTCAATTGTACTAAAGATTTGCATGTGTGAAAACCAAGGAAGATAAAACTGTATTTGAGAATATTAAATGAAAATCAGAATTAGATGAAATGAATAAATAAACACACACTTTGTTTTAGTTTCCATTTTTTTCAAATTTTATTCAAACTGAAGATTGTGTGAGATAGGAAATGTGGTAGATTAGAAAATTAGAAATTATTGTTTTAATATTAACAAAAATAGAAAAAAAGAAAATCATTTCTAGACTCTACACGCAACTGAGCACGAAATTCAAACGTTATCTTGTAAATCCAACTCATACATGCAATTGGTACATTTAAATATTATAACCTTCGTGTATTTTTTCCATTACAAGAACTAATATTCATTTAGCTGCACCCAACATCTAAAACTTTTATGAAAATGTTATCGGTATTAAGTGCGTGACATGCTACAAAGTACCGAGCATTGAAAATTTACTAAAAGCTTGCGAAATGCTTTTTAAAAAATAACATCTAATCTAAACAATTTCAACTGAGGTTAAGAAGATAACAGAGTCGGACTGATAAAATAAAATTATTCAGAGAGATAACAAAAATACGAATTTCAAAGACAAAAATAGTTCAGGTAAAATCGGAAAAAAATAATTCTAAAACGTAATGTTGTTGATAACTGTAGCCACAATAGGAAAATGATTTAAAAGAAATGAGGGACGCCTTCTCTATTAGAAATTATCTAACATGTGTTTCGATTCACATGATTCTGTCTAAGATTCCATTTCTTGTTAGTAAATACGAATCACTTAATAATCAGGTTATAGATCCGTTGTTTGTTCGTTTTGTAATCGAATCAATATACTGGTAAAGGGTTTTATGTAACTAAAGTCCTTGTGCCACTTGCATACTTTAAGCTAAAGCCTTTTCTTTTATTTATATTTTAAGCAAACGGTGTAATTTGTGTTCAAATTTATGTAACTAAGGTTTTTAGCCCACTTTCACTGCTAAGGCATTTTCTATATTTTTAAATTTTAGGCTCACACAGTAATTTGTGTTTATTCTTTTTTTTTTAAATTTTAAGCTCACGGTTTTGAAAATTAAAAATAATTATTAAGAAGTAACTATTGTTAATCTTTTAATTTATTTATGACTAAGCTAAATCTTGAGTGTGAATAATTGTTGTAAAGATTAAAACCTCTAACATAAAACCATAATAAATGAAAACAGAAATTTAAATTACTGGACCCCGCTGTGTAGAATGTGATATCGACACATTTTAATTGACAATGTCAATATTGAAATCGAGATTGAGTTTCCTTTAAATTTTCCGTAAATCTGGTTATGATCAATCTAAACGGCTAACTGGTTTTATGCCGAGATGTCGTGATAACCAGGTTTCATGACAAGAAGAATTAAATATTTTGTAATAGTTAAATGTCTTACCTGTACTAGACCTTGTCTTTGTTCGTGCACGTGATGACAAAGATGATGATGCTCGATACACACCAGCTGGGTGGAACCCTAGTGCTCCTCCTGAATAGTCAGATCCGGTCATATACGGGGGGTAGGAAGAGAAGGGGTGTGATGATGGTGCACTGGGGTAGGAGGATAGAAGAGAGAGTCCATCTTCATTGGATTTAAACTGGGCTGATGATGAGATAGGATACGATGTTAATAATGTGTTGTCCTCGCTTGTTTTGGCCGGTTTGTTTTCGGGAGAGAATTCAGAGTTTGCCGTTGCTGCAGCTGTTGCATCAGGGGTACCATCTTTGGGAGGTGTTGGTGGGAAACTAAAACTGTTGGTAGTGCCGACTGAGGATGAAGGGTGAACTGTAAGAGGAGCTGTTGGACTAGGGTGACTGAGGGATTTGCTGTTAAAATGGTTTATCCAACTCGAGTGAGCATGGGGTACAACTGGCTTAGCTTCTGAGATCCACGGGTGAAGAGGAGAGGGGAAATGTGGTCGACAAACTTGTGAACTGCCTGAAAGTAAAAATAATTAAAAACGATAAGGCTATTGAGCTTTATGAGCCTGTTTTCCCACACAAAAAGTTTCCTTTAATTTTATTGTTTATTTAATATATAACAGTTATGCTTATAATACTTCTGTTTGTTTTTGGTTTTTATTAATTTCTGGTGTTTTGTTTTTAAAAAATTGGTAGGTTTCCCACAAAGATGAGTTCTCACGCAATTTGGCCAATTAAATCAATATTGTAATAATTGTAAGAAATTCTAAACTTTTTCTGATCCTGAAACCGATCTTCTAAACAGCGCTTTGAAATGCGAAAATATGTCTAATTTTCTACATGCCATATTTAATAATTTAGGCTGTTTGAAATACTATGTTTACAGTCAGTGGTTTAAATTCCCACAGAAAGCGAAGAAAAAATCCAGCCTTCAAGTTTTGGGTGTTAAGACAACGGCGATATTTGCTGGGTTCTAATAATTAACTGGTATAAGATAAAAGAAAGCCTGTTGCATGCAGCTACTCATCATGTAGAGAATTTATGTATATACCGTGGCCAGATCATATTTACAGATATTTAGGTGCTTGGTTACTGCCCTATCATCACTGTGCGCTCTTCAGTTTCAGACCCATGGGGTTGCTGGCAAGCCTAAATACCATTACGCATTGATCGCGCCCCGACTTTTAATAAGCTCTTTGGTGAAATACAACGCCGGGAACTAAGAGCACATTTCAATCTAAAGCTTTTACGATCGAGACGCTATTAAGAAAGTTTTGACTTCATAAGATGGATGGCTTCAAAGCAATAGCAGTCTAGTTTTCTAAGTGCCTTCCGTATAACTTCGACGGACTTGCTTTGCCGTGGTTAAATTGAGGCAAATTGCTTCAACAGTAAATTAATCAGCAGCTAATTGCTGTGACGATCTTGGTCCGAAATCTGTTTTCCATAAAACCAGAGACTGCAATGGTGCTTATGACGGGTTTACTAAACAAACTGTTATTGCCAGCGCCCAAAGGCTGCGAGGTTAGCGTAATTTTAAAACAGAAAATATACATTTGGTACATTTCTACCGTGATTATAGAAATAGTTGAGCTCTGTTTAGCCCTAACCCAACTCGTTTATACGGCTTTTCTCTCATCATTTTCATTGCGAATGGCGTCGGAGTTTGACATAAGTATTAAACTCTTTTGCCCCGTTCCCAGATGTTTTGTAAATTTCACATGATATATGGCATCGGTGAAAAGAAAAGAGAACGGGTAGCTAGAGAACTTTTGTAGCTCCCGTGTTTGTATAGTTTCGGTAGATTGTTGGTAAAAGCGGCAGTTAAAGCACGGCACCACACAAGTCATAAGGAGGGGAATCAGATGCGCCGTGTGGAATTTACAAAGCAAACAATATTCTTTGTAATGGATCAAATCTGTGTGTTCTTTGTTTGTTTATAAATAAATAATTTATGAAGCGAAAAACTTCAAGTGAGGTTAAATTACGCTGATGTATTTTACGGGTGTTGATATTATCAATTACAATATATTAAAAATATATTTATATCAAAATATACATTAAGTATTTCTAAATGTAACATCTTTATCTAGTATTTTGACAAATTTTCTAAATCAACCAGACCCCATTAATTTGCGACCTAAATGGCCAACCCCCGGTTTACATCGATTCGTTTTCCCTTTTATTTAACTGCCGCCGCAATTATTACTTGAATAAAGCAATCCATATTTTTAACAAGAGAAATTATTACCACCACATGTCCATAATGGTGGAATAAAATCTAAACGTCGGTTATAAACCCGTATAAGTCATTGATTTAAGTGGCAATATGTGTATATACCAAGAGAGCTCTTAAAATACCATAACTATTTCATCTGTTTACAAGTGCGAAACCTAATTATATAATGTTTTGTTATTTAACATTTAATTGTCAAAGAGGTGCATACACATACATTATTAAATCTACACCAGATTTTTTTTGTGTGTGAAGATTTCAAGGGAATATAATTCAGATGTATTTATTTACATTTAGCGTTTTCAATGCCTACATACCGACGTCAATTGTTGAATCCGGTCGGAAATAAATTGTTATAGTCTCCACAAGGGCGACATACATGAAATCCAAAACCGTGTTTATTAAGAAATGTTCGTCTCGTTAAATTGTTCATTATCTTCCAGAAATTAGGCCAACATGCCTGTTCTCAGAAACTGACTATATATATTTCCATTCACGGCGAATTGCACAATGTGGGTTATGATTTTATAAAAGCCGGGAATGTTAGAAGGATGTAATGTACTTCATGCACATATATATAATAACTGCTTCAAAAGTTCAAATGTGTATATAGTCAAACTAAATAAGATTTAAACGTTTAAACGAGCTCGTAAAATTAAGACGCGGATTTTATTTGAATTATACACAGTCGTAAAATTAAAAAGTGTAAATTATACACACACTAGCAATTAAAACACTTAGAGGTAGTGAGATCCAATTAACCATCTCGCGAAGAACGCGCGGTATAACAACGTTTCGGGTTAACATTTTAACAAGCGGCCTTTGTATATGCGAATTTCTGTGTACATCATTAACAATAAATAACCGGATTTTACACATTTCTTACTATTTAATAACCTAGGCCTATTATATTTCATTATAGATGACACAATTTATATAATGGTGTATCATCCGGATTTTATTCTGACCTATTTTCAAATAGAATAATATATCTCCCGATCTATTCATAGCTAGAAATATAATATTTATTATGATATAATTTCTCTACGGGTTAATATTACTTTAAATTCTATACAGCATCAATTGTTCGATAATTTCCTCCTGCCTATAACAGTGTAATAGATAAAAGAGAATATATAATAAGTCACAACAATTGCTTGTAGTTAACGTGAGCGATTTCTTGATATAGTCACTGACTGAACATGTATTAACAACTACATGTAATGTATGATAAAACGCTGCAATATTTTTTTTATACAAATATGGCAGAAAATGGGTGAAGATAAAATATGAAAAATTAAATTTTTGAAGCGATGTTAACGGAATCATAATTCAACATTTTGCTTACTTATATTTTTTTATTTTTGTTAATGTGCTATTTTGTAATGAATGCAGCTCTATAAATTTGTAATAACGTTGAAAATAATGAGGTAATCCCGTCGGATTGTTTGTGAAAGCAGAGTATTGATATTACATCATGCCGAGTCGATGATTTACTATAAAGTTAAAGCTCTTATCATTTATATTTTATAATAACTTTGTTGTCTCGTTTTGCAAAAGAAGCAGTATTAACTATGAGTATTACTATCATGGTCTTATATATATTAACTCATGCAATTTCTCACTTCCAAATGCGACGCGCTGATAATTTTATGATAATTACACATTCATTAAATGATTCAGGAACTGAATATTCAAAAAATATAATATTATGCATTGTATCTGTTATGTTATTATCTTAACTAATTGTTTAATAAAATATATATACATATATATATATAATGCAATTAAATGATAAGTAAAATATATATGAATACTGTTGATATATACATACCATGAGAACCTCTATAACTGTGCATAGCTCGACTCTGAGATGAATAATAACTGGCTGGATTCATATGACTTGTATTACTGTCCAAACTATGAGGAAAAAACATGTCACTAATGTCTTCAGAGGGCAGCATCCCCGGTGTAGCGGAGTCAAAGCCATTGCCCAATCTGGAAGGGTCGGGACGGAGCCATGCGCCGCCATGTTGTTGCTCCGCAGGTAATTCCATATTTAATTCTTGAAGATGCGAATGTCACAAGTTAAAATAATTTCTACTTCAGGAAACTCCGTTTGATCTGTCTCTCGACGAGAAGATCTTTACGCAAACACAGTAATTAATGTATCAATCTATTTTCATAAACAGAACAATCTTGATTCACTGTAAATATGAAAACATAAGTCTTATGTAAAAGGTCACTAACATCGGTTAGGTAAATAGTTAATGATTAATGACCATAATCATATCTGTAGTAGTAGTTGTAGTACACAGCATCACCAGTAATAGTAGTTGTTATTGCAGCATCCACTAAATAGAAGGATCAGTTGTTTCTGGTAGCACAACACCATCGAGTAAAAAGATAAACTGGATGGCACTAGCAAATCTTACATCAAGTAGCCCAAAAATTTCTTACGTCTGATAACAGTAGTTGAAATGTATTATCTGACTTAAGTAGATCGGTGTGTTGTGTGGTTTGCTGATGAAGATAATCTGGTCTATGGATGAGGATAGCTGGTTATCTGAAATATATCAGCACCACTCGTCAATTTCACTTGACTTGTCTAATATACGAAGCCCCTCCCCCAATCAATTTATCTCCCGCTAAGCCACATTGAATCAAATGATTGACTTGATAGGAGAAAACAACCTTATCAATCTAGTTTAATAAAAAGCTTTTCACCCATCTTATCTACAGAAACAAATGAGTGAAGAATACTTATTTGCAAATTGATAAAACTAAATATAATAGAGTGTTTTGATAATTTATCAGACATTAGAAGGTGTAGAAAACAGGATTAGTACCACGTGCCGTAAGTTTACATCAATAATCTAAGGTGATAAAATGAAATAAATAAAACAAACCTTCTTTAAAACAATGTAAGATCAACAACGTTCAAATTATTCCAAATGTACACAAAAGTCGATTGTAATGCTGAGTGTTAGGAGAGAACTGTTAACTGTTGAATACCAAGTGTACATACTAAACAAGCATGCGTTTGTTACGGTTGTCTTTTCGCCACATTCCTATTTTCCGTGGCGCCAGTGGGCTAGCTTTACCAGACACCTATGACGCGACAAAAGTATTAATGACCAATCATGGTGCAGATTACCAGGGTGCACATTACCCAGCGATCTGTCTCCTGATTGGTCTAATATTATACACCAGACGATTCAACAATAGCCCGGCTGTCAATCATATCGGTGGGGCTAAAATAACAATACGGAGCTGCTGCTATACTGACTTCGGTGCTTGGAATAATTGTTCTTCAGTCTGTAATGATTGGTTGATGGACTTCACACGGGCGGGATTTATTGGATGTCAAAATTGAATAAATGAACCAATCGTTTTAAAGTGTTTGGTAAATCCTTCCTACAGTTTATCGTTCTGCATGATTTGAAAAGCGGTATTATTTACGTGCAGTGAAGCGAGCGGGCTGTCTGCTCGCTTTTGTACTTATGACGAGAGGGGTCGTGCTCTCGCCGATAGGAACATAAAAAGAAAAAGCTATCGAGCACAAATATACCGTGGACCATGACAAAAGCATATTTACTTAGCGTTGTTAACTTGTCTTATGAACATCAAGAAAGGGAAAAATACCTACTTATCATAAACGATATACACCACACACTTTTCAAGTAGATATATCAAAAGAAAATCAAAACAGACTTTTGGCTGCCGCCATCAGTAAAATAGACTTGCAAGTTAGGCACCTAATTCGATTTGTTCTAGATAAAATAAGTTGTAGTAACAAATATTGGACTAATACTGCGAAAACACGGATATAATTTTAAGATGCTCTGATATAGCATATGATAGATAAATAAATTGTTGTTGATTTCTGATAAGTTTATTTGGTAATCAAAACTGAATATCAGATCTTTAACTCTAGGATTTAGGATTACCAAGTTTATCCGTTATCTAAAAGGTGGCTTTGATTTTGTTCCAGATATCTTCAAATCATTTAGAACAACTAAAGACCCAGTTCCAATTTCTAATTGCTGTTGCAAAAGTTTAAACAATATATTTTCGTTTTATTGAGTCGAATATGTCCAATGATAGCTTTTACATATATGAAATAAAATTTAATAGAGAGTCAGCTATCTCTTCATAATCTTCATTAAAACTTTGGAGCAACTTCTACGCTAGCTTGCAAAATTTAAACGTCTTACTTCAAGGTGGTTATCTTTCACATCTAGTATCTTTAGCTCAATTCTTTTTTAACACCCTCCCGTGAAGAAAATGATCTAGGTCTATAAAACTCTGCCCTACCTCTATTGATATTTATAATATGTAAATATTTCTGAACAAAAACATCAAAAGAAAAGACTTTCAGTACAAAACGTTACCACAATAAAAAAAAAGAAGAAGACATGGCGCCTCCCTGTAGGTTACACTTATTTTTTTTGTCAAGATTCCGATCAAATACGAAAATAATGAATTACACAAATATAATATATTTTATTTTTTTTGGGGGGGGGGGGGGGGGGGGGTCGAACCAAAATATGAGTTCTCTGCATATTATTTGTACGTATTTATTTCGTCTGCGAATCAAGAATATTGACATGATAAATATAGAACGCGGGGAATTACCTTTTGATTTAACAGAGACGAAGAAAATATGTCATCAAATATAATATTTAAATACTGGATCTTGAACTCCTCCAAATCAAACAACTTTTGTGAAATATATTGTTCTCACGGTGCTTATAACTTCTCGACTAGAACGTTTTCAAAGTCAACCTAAATGGTGACAGTCAACAGAGTATGATACGCCCAGCAGTTCCCTTTTTCGTAAACGAGGCGGAACATGCTTCTAACTTCCCTTTCTGGAACACTTTGTTAGCGTAACACATCCCTATTCCAGGGTTGGCCGCTTCAATATAGATAGTATTTCTATTTAGGAAATCGACCTAACCATAATTCTACTTCGAATTTACGTGTTTTGACCCACTCCCCCCTTTTAGATCCTCACGGCATATTTTTTTATTAAATTTCCTACTGCTCCCCAAGAATGTTATTATATACAGATTCAGTTGTGGTGGTCCTATCTGGTTTAAATGTTTACCCAATTCGAATTATTGAATAACTGCAGATTGTTTCATATTTTTTTGTCATTTTCACATTTAATTCATTATCGACATTTTAATAGAACATCTGATACCACTTTTCATTTGAGGATTTCACATAGCTAACAATATTCTAATAGAAGACCTAATATTTATCTTTTGTTGAACTTTTATATTATAGGCGTTATGTGCGAAACAGTTTTCCGTAAGAAATATTTTGATATCTGAAATTGACTTTTTTTTTTGATTGGGTGAATTGGAAATACATCGAAACGTTGAAAGAATATATTTCGGATGTAGGCATATGAAATATATCGAAAGTAGTAATTTGAATTCACCGCTTCAGTTCCTACTTTTCGGAATGTGTATTTTCACACCATTTAGATAACCATGTGTATTCGACTTGAAGAGAAATGAGTATAACCGCGTGAGTTTATGTAATTTGGGTCTAAACATGAATTTGATGGACACGTTTGGTGCCAGAAGTTCTGTGTATAAGATGGATATCAGTAAAGTGTTTATTTGATGAGTTTTGTAAATTACATAGTCGATGATTATTCACTAATTGTATAATCGATGTTGATGACTTGACGTTCTGGCATTCTTTTGAATAATGACTCGCGTTAAAATTTATTAACTGTATCCAAAGAAATTATTTTGAACTGTGTTTTTGGTGTTTTTATTACTGTTTTGGAGGCATTAAAATGTACTCTACCGCCTTTACCATTCATTTAGTTTGTATTATTACTTTGAATAAAGTTGAGGATACACGGCCCTAGCAGTTATGAAGAATATACTATGAGAGGTGTCCTAGGCAAATTACTAAAGGCAGATTTTATCAAATAAAGAACCCCGTATTTCACTTTCTTTTCTTCAGATTCCAGAAACTCTTCCTCAGCAACACAGAGCGTCACTGATCCTGTCAAATAGGGTTTTTTTTTTTGTTGGTGGCTTTAATTATGTCATAAAGTATAAAGACTTTTGTTTTTCTTAGATACTTACTTGTTTTTGTCTTTGTTTGAGAATTACTTAAACATACATTATGCAAGAGCTAAATCTGCCTATTGCAGGTCTTTCTTTAGGCCTGAAATGTTATCTAAATTATTAATTAGACATTAATTAACTTATCCAGACCATAATAAACTCTCGATACCATCGTTAGCCTGCGATATTTAGTGGATTTGAATATATTTTGTGATAATTTTACGTCGAAATGGATATACTAGACTTTGTTTATTATCTTGCCAACGTTAGTAATGATGATCGAGACTGGCCTAAAATTGAATAGTGGATATCTTGGTTCAGAATGAAGCAATTTAGCTGAAATTTTCAACATATTCTGTTTTCATTATCTATTTTTTAACTATTATAGCGAAAAGCGTCCGGGCCTTTATCTAATGTTACCCAATGCCCCATTAATATTATGTAATGCATTTGTTTCTACTAATAGATATATTTTATTTATTGACATAAAATAGAAAATTTGAAGGCATTTGTTTTTACTAATAGATATATTTTATTTATTGACATAGAATAGAAAATTTGAAGGCATTTGTTTTTCTGGATAAAACTGGGATGTTTATAGGATAGTTGGACTTTTTGTGAATTACATAATATTAAGTCATAGATGTCCGTTTAGAAATATGTTTATCAAAAAATATCTAAAAACAATTGTATTGTGTAATCATGAATATCAAAATGATACGTGGACTAACGATCACCCAAAAAGTTATCAACCGCGAATCAGTACTGAAAATGTTTCCGTCAAAGAACTTTACGGTAATTTCCGCCTAAAGCCGTGTTTATCCAGAGGCGTTAAGACAATAACTTAATCCAGACTCCTAATTAAACGAGCACTCCTCTAACAAGAGATTATCAAATCTCACCATGGCTGTAAAAAATAACCATTCGGCGTAATTAACCAACACCTTTTTCGCCTTTTTACTTCTTTTGATGTTCTACCGTCTCTAAAGAGGGGCAATAACGAGTTCATTCCCATGGGTGCATTTTCAAAAGAAATTAGAAAAATATACATGCATATTATCGTCATATATATTGGTGCACGGTACAAGATGGTGCAATAGTTTACGACAACAATAGGCATTTATAATTGGATTTTAAGAGATTTTTACCCATGATTTTTGATTTGATGTGGATAAAACTAATCTTGTTATAATATCGTACCTAAAAGGGGATTAAGGTGAACAAGTTCGTCCACTGTCAATACAGTAAGATAGATCTGAACCAAGTCATTTCGGGACTAATATATACGCACCATATTATTTCATTTTAATAATTCACTTGCGCACGTGGGACTTTAAAAGTGGGCTGGAAAAGTGATCAGACTCCTTATCACGAACAAACCCGGGATTGGACTGGACATTATAAAGTTAACAAAACAGAGATGGGTCGAAACGAATATCTAGACATTTATTTTTCCTAATTTCTATTAGTAAACATAATATAACAAATTACCATAGATAAATACATATTTATTATGCAGTATATTTATTTATTATGCAATATATGTTACCGGTATATATAAACATCTCGCTGTTTTTAACATTAGTTACAGATTCCAATATAAGTTAGCTATGATAAATAGCTGAGTTATCTCACCAATATTTATATTTAGACCCACTATGAGTCTTTGTTGACGAGAGTATATTTTGAATTCTGATATCACCGACAGAAGATGCGCCCTTGGAGATGCAAAGTCATTAAGATAATTACAAAATTTTGATTTGGTGCTAACGTGCAATAACTCCCAAAGTCTGATAAATGTTTTTGTTTTTTTTTCAATTTTGGATAAAACCAAGAGCTAAAACTTTTTTTTTAAAATTTAAATAAAAGAAAATAAGAGAAAAAGCCTTTTCACTCTTTAACAGTTTATATATTTTCGTTTGTTCAGCATGTAATTTAATATGTATGACTTGAGCGGCTAAATAGACAGTAGAGTCGATGTTTGACACGAACATCATGAGAAATTTGTTAAGAATGG